CGAAGTTGAAGTCCAGTCACACCTGGTGTCCGCACGCAGATGTCATCAGCATAAATGGAAAGTCGTACGCTGCTTGGTTGCTTGCCAACTAGTCAAATGAGTGTTTGGTTGAACAACGTCGAGCTTAGCACTCCACCTTGCGGGACTCCCCTGCTACAGTAATAATCGGGTGTCGGGCCATTCTTTATGTGGAGGGGAAATGACCTATTCTATAGGTAGCTCTGGACCCACATATATATATTGACACCGAGTGACATTGTCGTAAGCCCCTTTACGTAAAAAAACAGAGCAACAGAGAACCGTTTGCAGGCCTTCTGGTGATCCACATATGTCACCAAGTCAACTACACTGTAAATTGTTGAGCGGCCTAGTCTGAACCCGGACATGGCATTGGATATGTTTAGTAGAACTCGAAGTACCACTCCAGACACGTTAAACTCATTCTTTCTATAACTCTTCCCACACAGCTCGCGAGGGCAATCTGGTGGTAAGAGAAAATGCCCAAGAGTGACTTGCTGGCTTTGAGAAGTGGAATCGGGCGATTTGCTTTCCATTCCTGTGAAACCATGCCAGTTTGCCAGGAGTTCGTTGTATATAGCAGCAAAAGCGCCTTCCTAGCTTGATCTCTTAGGTGACACAGAGCATGGTAGGTGATGCCGTTAGATCCTGGTGCTGAAGAGCGTCTACACAAAGCAAGCGCAGTCTTTACTTCTTCCATTCAAGACGAACACTTCATTCGGGGATCACGTGAGGAAACAAAACAGTCTGGCGTCTTTGTCCCAGTTGAATTTGACCCGCAGGCAATCCTTCGACCGAAAGATTCTGCGACGTCGATCTTTTTGCAGTGTAAGCGAAGTGGCAGAGATTAAATGGGTAGCGCTGAGTAATGGTTGTACTAAGACTCCGGACAGTTCTTCAGATTAGTGACAGAGGCTTTCTGGGATACATAGACTCGCAAAAAGATATACCCATTGTCGTTTATACAACATGTCCATGTGACGCCTGTATTTTCTTTTGTGTGCGCCTGGCCACTATCAGATTATCAAATGACTTCGTGCGTCCGTGACGTCATTCTGCACGGTGAAGAATCGCTCGGAGTTTCTCGAGTTCAATGTCCCTATCACTGCGAGATGAGCTCACCAGAAGCGAACGCGTGGTGAACTGTAGGGAACTCTTCGTTGCGTTCTTTAGGTTGAAGGGTGAGCCGCTAACATAGTCTTCCACGATTAGCTTCTATTTTCGCCAATCCGTGCACTTGACGGCTCTGGAGGACTTGAGACTCAGAAAGTCATCAATATTCAGGTGTGTTGGGATGTGGTCACTACCCCTTTTTTCCAAATTCGAAAACCAGTGCACTCTTTTGGTGAATAAGCATGAGACGAAAGTGAGGTCCAGGTAACTACTGTAGGCCGTTTTACGCAGATAAGTAGGGCTGCCGTCATTCACGAGGATCAGTTCACATTCAGAAGTGACAGACACTAACTGTCTACCTCTAGTGTTGACCCTAGAGCTTCCCCATAAGTTGTGGTGGGAATTGAAGTCACCAGTTATCACCCATGGCTGGAGAGTGTAGTTCAAAATTCTGCGCAAACGCTCGTGGTTTAGACGACCTTATGGAGTTAAGTAGGCGCCGATGATTGTGAATGTGGTCGTCTTGTTTTTTACTGTTAAGAAAACGTACTGGTTTTCTTCGTTGGGGGGTGCAGGGTGATGAACATAAGTTTAGTCACGCCGTATGAACACAACAACCTTGTTGCGCTCTCCGTGTCCGTGGGTAGAAGACATAAAGCACTAATTTCCAAACAGTGATGTGAGCTGACAGGTTTGGATCACAAATCACAATTACGGGGAACTGGTTTGTGAATACACATTGCCGGAAGTCAGACATGCGCGCCCTTAGCCCTCTGGCATTCCACTAAAGGACAGATGCGTTCTTGACCTCCTCTCAAAAGGATAACATGTCGCGGGCCATAGTTTCACCTTAGAGCTGCTAGCACCGGACTCAAATTGTCCAGGATTTGGAGTGCGCTCTGCGCTGACGGGGTGTTCATTTTGTTTAGGAGCATGCGCATTGCGCTAATAAGGGTCTGCAACATGTGAATGACCTGGCGATCCTCAGTTGTTCTTTCATTAGTGGTTTGTGAGGGCATCGAGGTTGGCGGGATTCAATGCGCCCCTGAATTAGGGTGTGTTCGTGGAAGGGATGGCCACTCTTCACGAGGTGGGAGTGTTTACCATGCTTTTGTTGCCGGTGTATCCGTCTTCGCAGAGCATGACGATGGGTTTCCACTTGTTTTGGGGACAAAATGACGTTTCTCTATGAGCAGATGTCACGCTTCGTGATAATCTTCTGTGGTGATGCCGACGTCACCTGACAGTAGCAGCAGCTTCTCTGTGCGTTGAATTGTCCCGCAGCATGCATTTCAGCACCGCACAATCATTTAGCACTCGTGGGCAATCTTTAGACGATTCTCTATGAGCGCCGAGGCAGTTGGAGCATCTGAATGCAGTTGCGTGGCAGGTGTCTTCTGAATGAGGTTCGGCACACCGTGGTCACACAACATTGCTGGTACATACTCCTTTTACATGTTCTATTTTGAAACACCTGTAGCATTGTAGGGGCTTCGGTATGTGTGGGCGGACCTGGCGGCGAACGTTGCCAACTTTGACGTGTGGTGGAAGACTATCTCCCTCAAAAACAATCTTCAGGCAACGTGGCTGACCGAGCCTTGCAATGTGCTTGACGAGGATGTTGTCTGTAGTTGGCTTTATCAAGATTGGAAAGTTGTCAGCGGGAACTGAAATGTCCACATCATAAATGATGTCAACACTGCCCTTACACTCAGTGGGGATCTTACCTGTGACCCTGTCGATTTACGTGAGGTTTTGTAGGCTTTGCAGTGCACTACGGCGTAAGAACATAAACTGCCAGGACATTCTTCCGTGAGTTGATAATCACGTCTTTAATGTCATTCGGAGTGAGTCCTTCGAGATATGCAGAGAGGACTTGCCTGTTAAGCCACCATAGGTTGCCTGAAGGGTCCACATCCATGAGGAGTATAGTGTGCGCCCAACGCTGCGCGGTAGCCTGCACGGTGGCTAGTCTTACTGTCGACGATGTTCGTAGCAGTCTCCTTTTTGCATTGTGGCTCATGGCGACTGCGTAGTCGTCATCCGCTGACTCGAAGCCGTCTGAATAGAACTCTGTTGCCTCGCTGTCTGTGCCGCTTGAGGTGGTCACACATTTTCCAGCCGCAGCCGGACGTAGCGATTGTCCACCTCAAAAATCCCGAGAGGCTTCATTGTCCATTCTCGCAAAGAGGGAGCGGTAGCTCCCCGAATTTGCGGAAAAACAAACCGAAAATTATAGATACGGGTGCAAGCGTTCTATGAAAAAGACACTTTGTCGTTGTCTTTTAGAGCTTTTAAACACTATTAAATTACTTTTAAACAGCCAGGAGAGCTAAATGTCGTAAGCGGCTAGATAGATAGATAGATATAGATAGATAGATAAATATAGATAGATAGATAGATAGACTCAAAGTTGCCAAAGTTTGCTAAGAAATTCTTCTCATTCAAAAAGTACAGCCTAAATGGAGCATGACTCAGCGAGCATACGAAAACGAAAGTGATAGCTTCAACATTGAGAGACAAGAATAGAGCAGAGTGAGTTGGGGAACAAACAGGGATTAAGGATATCATAGCCGAAATTAGGAACAGGACATGGGCCGGGCACGTAGCACGTAGGCAAGATAATCACGTTTTATTGTCGGTAACTGAAAAGATTACCAGAGAAGGCAAACACACGAAGGTCCCCCCGACAGTTTTCTAACTTCGGGACCTCCTCTGTACTGTAGAATTTTATTCATGTAAATGTATGCATTCCTGAAAGAAAGTTTGATTTGATTTGATTTGATTTGGGAGGGAGAAACGTTGGTTGGGCCGATGAGATTGAAACGTTCGCAGGTTAAACATGGCAGCAGAAAGCACAAGACCAGGTTGATTATAAGAGGCCTTTGCCCTGCAGTGGGCATAGTCAGGATGCTGCATCGCACGATGATATATAAATGGCACAAAAAATAAACCAGAAGAAAATGATTCGACGCGACCACCGGAGATTCGAATCAGTGATGCCTGGTTCCTCAGCACTCTGCATTAACCGACAAGGTGAAGCCACTTGTGCTGTTCGTCTCCCTAACACCAAACTATATGCATACATTATTTATCACTGGCTTGCCGTGAATGCACTTGAGAGAATATTCTTGAACAAAGCAGGTAAATTGTTTGGAGATGCCATACATGATTTTATAAACATTGACGTGCCCGATGGCTCAATCATGAAGCACCAGAGATGGATGAAAGGGGTATTCCCAAACATATTAGACCGACAAACTCAACTCGCTGTCCTAGATGTGTTGAGGTGTCGCTTGCGCCGTTCACTGTCGCGACAGTGTACGTTTTACCAAGAACCTTGCGGACTGAGGTTAAGAACTTCCTGCTCCTCAAGTTCCAAGTTCCATGCGATGTGCATACAGGATATGTCGGTGATATATTCAGCATTGACTTCAACGTTAATATAATTTGACTTAAAGACCAGTGGCTTGTCCCGTTTATCGTAGCTGATTATGAACTTCGTTTTCTGTCGCACGTGACGCAGTCAACTATGCACAACAACACCTGTTTCAATATCGTGTTTTTTGAATTACTGCCAATTCAAGCACAAGCAATTGTGTTCACTACATTTCATAAATTCGTACGGTTCTCAAGTTTCCTATAGTCTAACTTCCTATGCCAGCCCGCTGTGCTGCTATCACATTCATTTCATCGGCCTTGTGCTAAAAGTGTGGCCTAATTGCATAAAGTTGTTGTGTAGGGGCACAAAACAATACGTTACGTGGCTGTAATAATGAGATGACATGATTGTGTTTGTCTGGTACATTATGTATTGAGTCGAGCTTAAATTACGCCAGTTTGTTTTAGGTGTAAACTCTTGTACTTACGAATCTGCAGTGCTGCGTCAGCGATCTCAGACCCGTAATGTCCGACGTGGGTCGCTAAAAATGAAGACCAACAAAAAGCTTTTATTACAACGTTATTCTTAAAGAGAGAAAAGTGAAATAAGTGTGGCCCACTTAAACAGCCCTCGGCATACATTTACTTACTAACGCCGCCCCATCCTCCGCAGATACACACACGCCCACACAAAGATTATAAAGCTGCAGTATATGCCTTGTAACTAATATATTGTCCATAATTACCTATCTTGAATGTGAAGGCGATCATTTTTAGTGCAAAAGTGTTTTATGCGAGGGTTCACCAAGACTTCAGTGACGTATTTCTTTGATAAAATTGACTTCCACAAAATTCACAAGATCGGACGTCGAAAGTAAACCTGAAGAAAAAAAATTCTGTTGATGAAAGCCGAACCCAGAACGTCTCGGTCCACGGTAACGAATGCCGGGCACGCTATTCACTGTGGTGACTTTATCTCAAAACAGGGCTATGCTCATAGCTCATCTGCAGTAAAAATAGCTCTGCCACGCCAGCCTGCCTCGCATGGCTGAAACACCGCGTTTTCCGCTTACGCTTGCCTCCATTAAATACCTGCCGGAGTAGAGAGAAGCCACAACACCTCTTTAACTTTCTTCTATATATCCAGGCTTGGTGTTCAATAACTGCTTAGCATGCCACGGGATGGCGACCTTAGCTCATGCTGTGTAAGGTTTTCGATGTGCTCCTCCGGCGCAGGGTAGAAACACTCCTTTTGTAGACGCCATACTGTTTCAAACGTTCGCGGTCACTGGCATTGCCTGGTATGCAGTGAGGATCGCTTTCAACAAAATGAGTGGTAATTAGGCTCCGTTTATCACTTCTGGTGGTAAGGCTTGCACTTATAATGTTGGTAACAAATAGGACTACTTATTACACGCGAAGCATTTATTGGTGAATTAAAGACAGAGCGTATCTATGTGTCTGTCTCCCTAGCTGCGTTGGTCTTAGTGCTTTCCCGGAGAGTTGATTAGGTTTACGATAACCAAGTTTGACATGGCTTGAGCATAACAAGAGCATGCGAAAAATATAAATGATTGCTCATCACTTGAAAATCGTGACCTGCCTTTAATTTATAGCATGACATACTTGACCATATCAAGGAACTACAATGGCCGTTTGGTGAATTTTATGTATAACGAAATGGACACGGTGTTAGGAGCATGAGCAATATATACATGACTGGCCATAATACGAAATGATTGTCATGCATGTCAAATAGGTCATGACATACATAATGCTATTTTCGAGCCACGACTGCTTTATTAACTTGATGTGTACAAAAAGCGACCCGACACAAATGGGGCTTATGGCTAACACGAGTGACTGGTGATAACACAAAAATCATGTCATTTATGTTGTGTGCGCCATGACATATGGCACAGTCATAATGTTCTAATGCCCGTTTATTAACTATATGTGTACGAAAATTGACAGGGCACGATAACAGCGTAAGATGCAAAGAAATTATTGGTTATAGCACCGAACAGATGTCATGCACGTCATACACACCATGACATATATTACCCAGTCTTGGAGCTTAAATGGCAGTTTTATGAACTTGTTGAGTACGAAAATTTACGTGTCATGATGATAGATTATAAATAACAGAAATAGCTGATCATAACACTTAAACTGCAAGTCAAACTGCATGCAAGTCACGTAGGCTATGATATACATGACCCAATGAAGGAGGTTTGTGATTGGCTTAATGTGAATTAGCTTAGTCTGGCTTGATCCGCAGTGTTCTGCAACCACACCCTATTATACAACTCATTAGACAAACTTAATTTACTCGAAAAAAGGCTAGTTTAAGATTACATTAGTCTGGATTAGCTTAATCCTGCTTCATGTGGCTTTAATTGTTCCACCTTAATCTCTGTTGCTATAATGCGTTCATACTCAGTCACCCAAATGGCTAGGCGATTTCAACTTAATAACAAGAGACTTGCTCAAGGTTAGCTTAAACGATCACTGGCATCAAATTTACCTATGTCAAGATGTTTGTGTCAACGAGAAGCTATTGACCCCCTAGTAGCGATTCGCGACCTAAAACGCATTTGAGTGATGAATGAATATCTGTAATATTGATTACTATACCCGCTATCAGACGTGGTTCAAAATGGGTGGAAAGCCTGCCAAGTTGTAGTGCTGTCAGCGCTACCTCGTGGCCATGTCGAGGCCGCTGCACAGATGATGCCGCTTCCACAAAAAATGGCGACGTCACACACACTGGCATTTCGCCTGCTCGGAGTGCATTTGCAATAAGTCCAACTGTGTCTCTTATGGTGTAGACTAAAGCTCCTCCATGCATTTTCCGCCAACTAGGTTAAGGAGCGCCTACTCGTTCTTTCTCTCTCCTTTTGTCCTCGGCCTTGAGAAGAAGCCTTGCCAGTGAAACCCCACTGGCTCTCGAACACAGGATTTGCCCTCTAGCAGCACGGCACAAAGTAAAGCTAGCAAATGCGGCTGTTCTGCACAGGCATCCAGGCTCTCTGTTCATCGGCGCGTACGAAGTCAACCCACTGGCTGCGTTGAGGTTCGTGGCTTGGAAAGGCATGAAATGCCACCGCTGTCCGCTTTTAATGCGATAGAAATTATAAGGACACTCTCGGCTAGATTTCGGCGTCAGCGTCGACGTGGGCGTCGATGTCATGCACCGTATATGCATACGTATTTATATATGTGAAAACGCAAGAAATAAAGAAAAAATTCCAAAAAGAAGACTTCAGAGCGCGGAATAGAACCTGGCACCACCGCGTCATGAATGCGAGGCGTTAACCACTGAGGCGTTACCTCCTTCAACGTTCAAACGGCAAGCTATTAACTTGCACCACTTACCGCTGTTAGCGGGCATCTCAGGGTGGGGGGGGGGGGCACTATTGTGTTTTCAGCATTATCAGCAAGATGGCGCAGTGAGCACGCGGCGGCTCTCATCTCTCAGGCGTACTTTGGCCCACGTAGAGAACAAGGGGGTGTACGCTTGATCATGCGTCTGTATCTTGCAGTGGGGAGAATAGTACGTCTTGGCTTGCCTTTAGGTTTCGTCGGAATGATTCTGTTGTAGTTACCAGGTGCTCCAAGGTCACTGAAATCGTTGCACAGCCTCCATTTGCGAAAAGAGCGCGCTTTTCAGACATAGCGAAGTAACAACTGAGACGCTTGCTCGCGTGCATCTGTACCTGTGAGTACGCTTCATCCGTCAATTGTGCATAAGAAATTCGGGGCCCGTTTTGATCTGCTTGCCATTCTGCGCGCGACCTTCCAATTTGTCGCCATCGCGTTCATTGCTTTTCCTTTGTGGCAAAGCTGTGGCTTTTTCCTTGCCTCGAAGTGCAGGTTCTCATTGCGCCGTGGTTCCGCGACATTCTGGCCCGTAATGTCACTCTGAGTGATCGTACTCACGCCGTGGAGCACACGTCCAATCAGTCGATGCAACACAATGAATCGCATGCAGGCTTCAACACAGCAAGCTGAGCCATTAGTGACATATTGCCGGGAGCTGGCTCAAATCGTTGACGTCATTGCTATCAGCGTATCGTCACTCAGGATGGTATTTGCGGAATAAATCACACTGAACACGTAGCACTAGTCTAGATGATGCAGGGCAGTCTATTTTCCGTTTTTTCTCCGTAGCTTTTCTACGCAGTTTGACATTAAATTAAAATAACTTACACGCGATGAATGACAATCAGATTTGATCAAGAAGGCCTATGCATACCAAGCGACAAAATGATGGGCACATCTTGATCTTGAAATTTGATGTCAGTGCTCCTTTAATGAGAGTAGCTTAATCTGGCTTAATGCGTATAGGCTTAGCACATCCATGCACTGGCATTACACAGGCTACGCAAAGTAAACTAAAAAAAGATTTGCTTCGTCGTGATTAGCTTTGTGTGGATCAAATTATTCTGGCTAAATGCACATTGTGGTCAAACTCAGTCATCCAACTAGATAGGCAGTCTCAACGTAAAGCAGATTTCTTTAAGATTAGCCTAATTCTGATTAGCATAACCCACTTTATGTGAGGCTGGTTTAACGTGGTGATGCTCAGCCGTTCTACAGGCAAGACAATTTCACTCCTGATTATCTTTTTGTCCACTTTTTATATAAACACTACAGTTTTTCTAATAACGTCCTCAATACTTTTGCTGATAATATTGTCAGCCGGTTCTCATTATTATTGTGCTAGTATTTGTAAGATTTCTTCCGTCTTATGGAAACCATAAATGCAGGGGCGTGTACTCACCGAGACGGAGGGCGGGCCTCAGCAATTGTGGCAATCTTGCCATGATCCTTGCTGCATTATGTATGAAAGAAAAGCATCTTATTTCATACGTAACGTTGAGCCAGTTGTAGGGTACGTTGCTTAAGGTTTAATGCACAAGTTTGCCGGCAAGGCATGAATGCCGTTATAGGATCTATAGAGTCAAGAAACATAACAACTCAGGCATAGATTCTCATGGGCTGCTGAAAGCTTCTAGAGCGAATCAGTCATAACCATTATTTTCGGCTAACTTCCTTTATCGGGACAACAATTTTCACGTTTGCAAATCTTCGAAAAGTGCCGCCACAACGCTAACGATGCGCATTTTAAAGAAAAAATTTAGTTTTAGTGTAAACATTTTTGGGGCGAATAGAACGATTGTAATCGGTGTTGTAATTGTGTGCTAAAGTATTGTGAAAAATTTAGTGAAAGTGAAGATTTAGTTTGTTTTTTAATGTGTTACTGAAAACAAGCCGATAGCTAGAATACTGTATTGAATATCAGGTGAATAAAAAAAGAACAAGGCTATCAAAATATTTCTGCTTTGTTATTACACGGCACTACAATAATGGACTCCTCATATTATCTTTCTGAAGCGCTTCATATGGTTTTGTGCTATTGCTTCCTGATATTGTGTTTTCATGACAACATACGTACGCTTGGCAATGTTTCATTGTATCGCCCCAACTGTTGAGGAGAAAGAAAATAGCAATGATGCTTCTCTCTAAGGTTA